GCATTTAGATCAAGAATTACACTAATAAACAATTTGCAAATAATTCCTATGATCTACCAAAACTCATAAGCATAACATTCATATCAACAATTTTCAAGAATCATATAAACATATATAAAACTTGAAACTTTGATAATAACCTCTGAAAATGGATTAGCATAATCATTACCACATCAAAAACAAATTTTATAAGTCCAAAATAGTTTAGGGTAATGATTCTAGTCCAATTCCAGCAACAAAACTCGAATTTCTACACTCAGGGCCTCCTACTCGCCGAGTGCAAGAACCTACTCGACGAGTAGGATGAACTTTCACTTGGACTTGTCGATTCCCCCCATGGACTCGGCGAGTTCACTGAACAGTGAGTAGAAATTCGACTTTTTTCAGCAATTTGCATCAAGTATGATAAAACAAACCTGGCTTTGATACCACTGATGAGTTTTGAGCATTCTAGCACTCCTATGGTGTGCATGCAACCCTAGAAACCTTGGATCTATGTTTTCTCTATTATACATGCAAATATTCATTTTCTAAGGTTTTCATCCTAACTAGCATATGATTGGGGGTACATGTAATATAAAACCTAGTAGAATGACATACCTTTCTTGTTGCTTGGATTCCTTAAGACCTTGTGAGCCTAGCACCCCAAATGTGATGCCTCAAATGTTTCACACAATACCACAACTCTTGGAATAACTTGAGAGAAGTACACTTGTGCACAAATTCGGCTACCCCTCACCCTTATGTCTTAGTTGCCGATTTTGCTCCATATGAGGCTCTTTATATAGTGTGCCACATGTAGGGTTACACCATGTAAACCCTAATGTGCATGGCTTTTCATTTCCTCCATGATCCATGGGTTTTAACCTCCATGGAGCATCCATGGAGCACTCAATGGGACTTAGCCCAATCTAGTGAATCATGGATCATAACCCCACTATATAAGAATGAATGATTTACACAATCAATTCCCATATATTTAATTAGTCTCTTTTGATCACAAAATTAATTCCAAATTAATTCTTGATCAATACTAATTAAATAATATGATTTCATATTAATATATTAGAACTTATAATATATTAACAAATCATAAGTGTCCTTTTTCTCATTTTGTCTATCCAATTGTTGCAATGCCATGCAACCCAAATGGATTATGCCAAGCCGGGTCAAGTACATACCAAATATAGTTATGGACTTAGACACCTTATCCAACACAAACCTCATCATGGGCCAGAAGCCCCTAATCGACAAAGTCATTCTCTGGAGGAGCGATAATGCTAGCGCGATAGCGAACTATCTTCTTGCCCATGATCGGAGAAAGGAAAAGTACAAAAGGAAGAACAAGGGGAAGAAATTACCTCGGAAGGTAGCCAGAGACTTATTGGGAAAGGTAAAAAGAGTTAAGAGGATTACCCTATTTAACCCAATGGCGGAAGAGAGAGGGTACGATTTGACAGCGTGATGATTAACCTTGGGCAGATAAACCCTATCCGATTAGGTTTTAAAATTCAAAATCTTTTATCTCTTTCGTTTATTATTTTTAAAATTATACCTTTAATACGGAAAGCTAACCCCAATATTTCACAAGTATAATTTGGGGGCAATTGTTAGGAGGCAGGATCCTTGACTCGTATTCAGGATCCTCAAATACTTCTGAAACCTCAGGATCCTTAAACATATCCCATGATCCTGACTAATACCACTAATATTTTAACACTTGTAACAGCTATATTTTCTTTATTTCTTTCACACGTGCAGAACGAATCAAAACAAGACCCATTCTCAACGGAGAGTCATCTCAACCAGGCAAAAGACCGGGAATATCAAGTCAAATAACGTTCATATGCTGATTCTGGAGGATCTCGGAATTATCGGACTTCTTGTTATTAGAATTAGACTATAAATAACACATGTAACTAGCACTCTAGGGACACACTTAGCTCATCCACGATACTTGTACTTACATTTACACATTCATCTCTGTAAATCAACATTTTATATCAATAAATTCATCAAGGTAGGTGATCATTGTCACCTCCCAAGGTTTTATGTCGGAGATCCTATCAAGGATCGATAGCTTTCCTTGTAACTCACTTGTGTCATTTTGATTATCATTTCTTACTTGGTTTACCACGAACATCACAACCTCTCATATAGTTTGGTTAGATTCTACTTAGTTGATCTTTGACCAAAACACTTTTTGTCAAACCACCTATTTTTGTAAAGTGATTTAAAAAAACATCCTATTTTTGCAACAAAACACCCCATTTCTAAAAAAAACAAACAAACAAAAAAAACAAAACAAAAAATCGCATATGCTATCGGGATTTGGGCTCCATATCAATATTCAATAACCTTTTTGGGTAGTTTTAGTAGAAATGAATAAAATATGATTATATTTTTTAAACTAAGATTATCAGAAGAAGCTTCGGAGCATACAAAATTTAGTGTTCCTAAATCTAATAGTTCATACGAAGCTATAATTACTACCAATAAGAGGAGCGGTTCGATTCAAGTGTTGAAGCCCATATAATTGCCGAATCGTGTCCAGAAGCCCAAATCCTCCCCTTCCTCCTTTTGATCAAGAGGGCTTTTTTGATCTGAGAATCTTGCCTTATCGCTAAGCTCTTGAAAAGAGTTTAGGAGATTCTGAAGCCTTGCAACAAACTCAATCAAGGAAGATGTGAAATTGGCCAAAGACAAAGCACTTGCACTCTCGTAAGTCCTTACCTCACGTTCATTAAGAACGGCATCCCCAAGAACCGAGAGGCGTGAAGGCCACTGCAACTGCTGTTTAAGTGCCTCTTCATCACAGGAACCCCAATTTGCAAAAGAGGGTAGATTCATGGACATATTTGTGATATGGCGGTCGATGTTTTTGAAGGTATGAGAATGTTTCAAATAAGGGGCTTGTTGGGCTTCGGTGGAGGTCTCTTCCTCGGTCTCCTCTTGATCAGGATCTTCCAATTCTTTGTGTCTTTGTCTAGCAGCTGCGCTCACAAGATGGTATGATTTTTCATCTATCAACATTTGCAACTCCTCTGCGGCCTCATGCACCTTCTCAAGTAGGTCAAAATTTAGGCTTAATTTTTCTAGCTTCTCCAACTTGTTTCCCAGCTCCCTCAGTACTTTGGCACCTTCACTCCCCACCCTCTGAATCTCGTTTCTGAACATCATCCTCAGTTCAGCTGCTGCCTATAAAGAAATTTAAACAAAATCTCACAGATCCCATCCCAATATGATCGATGATGTTGCTTCTTATTTCTTAAATCAAATCAAATGTATACGTACCTGTATTTCCGAAAGTATGCAACCATGCATTGCCATAACCATAAAAGCACAATGCCTTAATGCACCGCCAACTTTCACAAATTGACCCCATGGATATCTCAACATATTATAACGCCCATGGGGCGGTTCCCAAATCGCAAAGCCCAACTGCATGTATATATATAATCTTGTTGGATGCCTATATAT